TTTGGAAAAAGTCACAGTGGAGTGCCATCTTTTGTAGCTGGCCGCAATGGAATGGTTTCTCAAGAAGACATTTTGCAAAAAGTGGTCAGTCAACATTTGTCTCAGTGAGTAATCATCTCCTTAAAATGTTTTTTAATTCATTTCTAGATATATTTTTAGATATAATTTAAAATGTTTTCTATTATAGGAATGTAAATGAAGAACAATCTTCTATTGCACTAGACTCGCCACCTTCGACACCATCTGCAGTTAACAGTCAATCTCAATCAGTAATAGGTAGCAGCAAATCGTCCATGACGGATAGCAGTTGCTCATCTTTAATAAATACAAAAGCAAAAGTACGAGATGGCAAATTGGCGCATACTCTACAATCACTTAAGGAATCCATCTGTGCTGTGCTACAAAGAGAAAGTGATGCCAAACAAGAAACACGTACAAAATACCTGACGGAGCTTAAAAAATGTAATGAATTACAAATAGAACAATTACAATTGCAAAAAGAACGAAATAGTATCTTACAAAGGCAACTTAAGATACTAGAGAGAATAGAAAGTAAAAAATACTCAACACAAGAATTATCAGACGAAGAAGATTATAAAGATATAATAAGACTGAAGGTTTACTAAATTATATGTATACATAAGACATTCATAAAGTTTGTTCCTTTGCCTACTTAAAGGAGAAAATGTAGTAAAACACATTTATTAATCTTTTCTACATATAAATTCTGCGAAGTTACACATTTTTCCTGACAAGATCTGTCAGATATAGTAATTATAAAAATAGACACATTGTCTTTTAAAAAATGTTAATAAGATATTATTACAAATTTATAAAATTTATGAACAGTTTATTAAGTTTAATTTTAATTTTGTTAAAAGACAAGTGTGTTGGTTTTTACAATAATTATATCTTAATTAGATCTAATAATTAGATCTTTCATCATTGGGAAAAATGTGTAACTCTACAGGATTCAAAGGTAAAAAAAAGCTAATAAATGTACACATTTTCAATCACTTCATTTTTTACTTTATAACCAAAGTTACAAACTTTATGAACATTTCACGTAAATGAAGTTATATGTATTTAAAATTTATATAATTTTGTTAATTTTATTTAAAATTTTTATTTCAAGTTGAAATAACTTTTATTTTATTAAAGTTTATTTTAGTTTTTTATTTATTTATTTTCTGTTATTTTGATAAACAGCGTGACAAAGCTGTATCAAGCTCTGCAAGAGAGGAAAGCTACATTTACTTATTGAGTTCTTTTAGTTGAAAAAAGCTGCATTTATTTATTGAGTTTTTTTAATTGGGAAAAGCTGCATTTACTTATCGAGTTTTTTTTTACATAATAAAGCAGCATTATTTACTTGCAGTCAAGCGTACAAAACGTGATTGAAAATCAAAACTGTCATTTCTTGTTCAATTTACATTTTTTTGTTAATTATCGATAAAAAATCATAATAAAATATATATTTGCATTATGCAGTTATATTTCTCTATTTGTATGAAAAATAGGCGTATATGACAATAAAAGACTGATGTATGGATAAATTTTTAACAAAATTGTTTTATTTGTTGTCTTACATATTACATAAGAATTTATTTTATAAAATTTAATATCAAACTTTAATAATTTTTAATTAAAATGAGCTGAATAGAAGATATATAATCGTAATATTCATAATTATTAATAAATGAAATATATTTGTGTAATCGTTATGGTTATAATCGTTATAATCTTGAAACTATAATTGTACATTGTTTCCTAATTTTTATAACTAAAAAAACATAAATATTTGAAAGCACTTTGATAGTTTTGTACATTAAATACATATCATACATATTTTTAATTGAACGACACAGATTGATACAATGCAGTATGTGATATGTCGACGTTGACAACGACACGATATTGATATTTAAAAAAATAATAAACATAATATTTAAATATTAATATTAGAACATAATATTTAAACAAATTTATTTGGATACTCTTATTCAAATCATCGTTGAAACAGTTGTCTACATAATTCGTCTCTGAGATCGCGACCATGTCGATCATCATCCGGATCTTCATTTCTATCTGCTGCTGGGACATTATGTAACAATACCTGCGCATTTATATCAGCATGGTTGTCGACTTCAGGTTCTTCCATGTGTTGCAAATCATCCAAGTCAGCCAAATTGTGAAGAACGCAGCAAGCGAAGATGAATTTGACGATAAATTGCATATTCCTCAACTTGAGGAAATATAACTGTCTGAAACGTTGTTTCAGTATTCCAAATCCATGCTCAACTGAAATTCTGCATTGACTGTGTATACGATTAAAATTTCTTTGGGCCTGTGTCAAATGTCCATTATCCCGATATGGAGTAATTAATTGGAGAAGGCATGGATATGCAGCATCTCCAAGAAGTATGCTTCCATCTAAAATAAAAGCATGTATATTTAAAATTAACAGCTAAGGCTAAGGCTGCTTTTTGATATTCATTCTGCTAGTTGAAAATCTATATTTTATATTATGTACTACAGATTTATAATACTGGCAGTAAATATCAAAACGTAGCCTATGAAAACATTTACAGTGAAGTATATATTTTAATCATAAATCTTACAGATATGGCAATGCATAGTCAACCACATCTACATACATAGAAATATTGAAAAATGTTTCTTTTTTTAATCTCCTCCGGACTTTCGAATACAGAAACTGTTGACGCATGTCATAAATTTGTATAATCAATAGACTCTTATATTAATCGCTCGTATATCAACGGAAAGGTTTGATCGTTCGAACCGACACACGACAACATTATCGACCTTGTTCACCATCCCATGTGATAAGAGTCACGCTGTCACGTGTACATTTTATTTACTCCTATTCTTTCGTCGCTCCGATTCGCCGAAACAAACATCCGATCCCGAGAAAGAGAGGATTCCGTGACGAAAACTCGGAACGCTCCCGAAAACCGAGAATCAGATCTCTGCGAACCGTGCTATCGATCAGCTGCAAATACAAGTAAACATATGTTCGTTGCTGTAATCACTTTCCTCTCGGAGCGAGCCTTCACGAGGCTGTACAAGCCACCAGTCGATCAACAATAATTTGAATTAGAGCGACGCCGTCGCGCCTACTGATATCGACAACATTTTTTGGTCCTTCGAGCCGGATCGCTAACGAGAGAAGACGACAAGTCGTGAAGTACATCATCCAATTACATTTTGGCTGACTTTGATCACGACCTACGTTGTTTAACGCAGCAGCCGCCATTCCAATAATGGCTACCACCGCAAAGCTTTTGGAGCAACAGCTCGACCTTGTTAGATCGGTTGCAAATGCCGTATCTAATTTCAAAAAACTCGGCCACGCCAAGATGACGTCCACCGTGGCTGCAAACCGGATGGAACGCGTCAAGGAACAGTTCCGGGAGATTCGCGTCAACAACGCCAAGCTGTTAGTCCTCGCCGAGGCCGCTACGAAGACCACGCATCGATACTTCACCGAGGAGCTGTATCAACAAGCCGAGGTCCAGATGGATGCTGCCCTTGACTACCTGGCCGAATTTGCCATACCTACCATTGCCGCCCCGCACATCAACATCATGGACGCTTCGAACGCAAGTACCGATTATCATCATGGTCCGCGCCCGGTCTCGCGTTTACCGCGAATCGAATTACCGAAATTTGACGGCTTTTTCGAGCGATGGGAAACGTTCCGCGATAGATTTAAAGCAATGGTAATTGACGATCCGATTTTAACAAATGTAGAACGCCTGCATTACTTATGTTCAATCGTTACCGGAACGGCCAGCACTTCGCTGAGTCACTTAGCAGTCACCGATGCGAATATCGAAGTCGCGTGGCAAATCTTATCGTCGCGCTTTGAAAATCAACGTCGAATCGTCAACTCCCATCTTTAAATTTTATTCTCGTTACCGTCGGCAACGCATGAAACCGCGAAAGAGTTGCAGACTCTGCGTGACACCACCAATACCACCGTACAAGCGCTGAAATATCTAAAACGTCCCGTCGATACGTGGGACGATGTTCTCGTGTTCCTCGTTTCGCAAAAACTCGACAAAGCTTCGAGAAAAGCGTGGGAATTAAAAATGAGCGAATCGCAAAATTTACCGTCCTATTCTCAACTCGACAAATTTTTAGAGTCTCGCATTCGCGCGTTCGAAGTTATCGCCCCGACGAAAAACATCGAGTCAGCCGAGACTACCTCGTCAAAAATTAAATCGGCCAAATCCGTAGCATCACATACAACGGCCGTGAAGTTCGAATGCCCGGTCTGTAAGGGCCATCATCGTTTATTTCAATGTACACAATTTGCCGCTTATACGCCGGAGCGCCGTTTCGAATTTATTAAATCGAACCGCCGTTGTTATAATTGTTTCGCGGCAAACCATGCGTTAAAGGATTGCACCAACAAGCATCGTTGTCGAGAATGTAAGCAAAAGCATCACACTCTCCTTCACCTTGGAAACCACGCAAAGTTACCGTATGCTGAATCGTCACATTCAAAAGAAGAGACGAAAAAAGACCAAGACAAAAACGTTGTCGCTCTTACCCTAACACGTTCAATGCCAGCTATTCCCGCCGTTCTGCTCGCTACAGCGCGCGTCCGCGTACATTCCGCGCACGGTCGCTTCATTCCCGCTCGCGCGCTTATCGATCCAGGATCGGCTGTGACACTCATTACGGAGAATCTTGCGCAATTACTCCGTCTTCCTCGAGTAAAGCAAAATTTAAGCGTTACTGGCGTTGGTCAAACAAAAACTTCCGCACGCTACGCAGCAAATATCAAAATTAGTCCCGTAAAAAGTAACAATCCCGCGTATTCGACGACGGCTTTAATATTGTGTTCGCTCGCGGAATACGTGCCACCTCCCGTTGCGTCTCACACTAAGTGGACGCACCTCGACGCCCTCGAATTAGCCGATCCTGATTTCCTGAGTCCTACGCCAATCGATATAATAATTGGAGCCGATATGTATGGAAATATTCATCGCGACGGTTCACACAAGGGAACACCACACGAACCGTTCGCGCAGAATACCGCGTTCGGCTGGATTCTCTCGGGTCCTACCGTCGAAACCTGCCCCCGCAATTCCGTACCCGCATATCATACTAACATTTCACCTAATCTTGAGCATACCTTAAAACAGTTCTGGGAACTCGAAGATATCCTAGCCCGCGTTCATCCGAGTCCGGAAGACACCCAATGTGAGGAGCATTTTGTGACGACTCACTACCGCACCATGGAAGGACGCTACGTCGTGCGTCTTCCCTTTAGAAATGGCCCGCCTCGCGACCTTGGAGACTCTCGATTCGCTGCGTTGAAGAGTCTCGAACGGCTCGAACGTCGTTTTCGAACCGACCCATCGTTAGCAACGGAATACACCGCATTCCTTACCGAGTACGCAAACCTAGGTCATATGACTAAGATATTTCCTACCGAATTTCCCGCCCAAGCTCCCGCGTACTACATTCCACACCGTGCCGTGATCCGTGAACATAGCAATACAACCCGACTTCGTGTTGTGTTTAACGCGTCGTGCAACACCGCCACCGGCAAATCATTAAATAGCGCTCTTCATGTAGGAGCAAAATTGCAAACCGATCTAGTAGCGGTCGTCCTCCAATGGCGACAACCTCGATTTGCACTATCAGCGGACATCGCCAAAATGTATAGGCAGATTTTAGTACACCCTCTCGATACGAAGTATCAATGCCTCTTATGGCGATCGTCTCCGACGGCTCAGGTCGACGAATACCGACTTCTTACCGTCACTTACGGCACCGCCGCTGCCCCATTCTTGGCCTTGCGAGTCTTACGGCAATTAGCCGAGGACGAAGGCTCACAGTTTCCGCTCGCGGTACCGGTTCTATTACAGCAAACGTACGTCGACGACTGTACTTTCGGCGCCGACGACCTTGAAACTGCCAAACAAACACGAGATCAGTTAATTTCGTTGCTATCTCAAGGCTGTTTTCGTTTGCGTAAGTGGGCGAGCAATTGCCCTACGCTCCTTGAAGATCTCGATCCTTCCGACCATGGACTCGCAACCAACAAAGATTTGCACGATCACGATTCCATTAAAATTCTCGGAGTTACCTGGAAACCGGAACACGATATCTTCACCTTTCAAGTTTCGAATTTAATAACAGTCGCGAAAACTAAGCGCGGAATATTATCAGTCATCGCGCAACTCTTCGACCCACTCGGGTGGGTAGCTCCCGTTATCGTAACCGCGAAAATTTTCCTGCAGCATCTCTGGTTGACGAAGTCTGATTGGGATGACGAGCTTCCCGCCGAGATGTTGCGCGAATGGGAAACATTTCAATTGACGTTGCTTCTCCTTGAGCAGTTAACTATTCCGCGCTGGACGCAGTATCATCCGAACAACAGAATTGAATTACACGGATTCGCAGACGCCTCCACGCGAGCGTATGCGGCAGCGCTTTACCTCCGTGTCATTTCGGGCGACGGTTGCATTACCAATACTCTGATCCTTGCTAAGTCTAAAGTCGGTTATGTTGGTCAGTTGTTCGCTCTACCACGGTACTGTTTTCCTAGACAGAGGTCTTCTCCTACTTAGATTGCTACTGCATATAAGATCAATCTTTCTATTAAATAGATTAACGGCGTTCTCCGGACTTGTATTTGTGATTTCTTTACAAAGGGTCCCATTGAGTTCTGATTTAATAACATCGCCAAACTGATCCCAATTGACCTTCTTTAAGTTATAGAGTTGTCCTGTGATTACCTGATTTGTTTCTGAATTTTTATTGTTGTTATGTTTAAAGTATATACAATTATGGTCTGAGGAAGTCATTTTCGGGAAGACCTTCCAATCATTAATATCCTTCAGGACTCCACTATTCACCACAGTCAAGTCTATATTGGCCTCTCCTATTATAGTAGAGAACGTTGGTTCGTTTCCAGGCTGATTCAAAATGTATACATTTTTATTTATTAGGAAATCCTCGAGTAATTCGCCTTTCGCGTCGTTCTCTTTGCAGTACCAAGTTTTGGAGTGAGCATTGGAGTCCATTGATATGATCATGTCGTGGCTTTTGAACGTTTCTATTATAGTCTCCAACTTATTAATAAAATAGTTTAGCTCCATGGAAAATTGACAATAAACTGATACCAAATATAAGTTTACTTCATTATGTATTATATGTGCGCAAGCTATATGTTCGTCCGTAAACTGTTCGATTTTTGTGACAGTTATTTCCTGATTATATACAACTATAGCAGCTTTTGTATCTGTCACCTTATTACTTTGAACAACTCTTGCACCAAGTGAAGCGCAGCCTTTGACTTGTCCTTGGAATACGTATGGTTCTTGTATCAGACACACATCAATGCCTTGTTCCTCTACTTTTAATCTTAATTCGTATGATGCCGTCTGCGAACGGCCAACATTTATTTGAAAGAATTTTATCATTATGTATAATCTATTTTATTCTTTACGATTTCAGTTACTCTTAGATACTCCGGGCATCTCTTGTCACTTACAGTATGATGTGTGTCTTTCCTTTTAGCTCTTGTACAATTAGCGCAGACTGCAGATTTCTCTCTCTCTCTGAGCAATTGGTGCTTATATGGCCCGCCCCCCCCCCACAGTGTCCACAAGTGGGGGTCTTTTCCTTGCAGTGTTTAACACTGTGGCTTAAGCCTAGACAACGGAAGCACCTAGTCAAGGCTAAGTAATCATTAACCTTGTATGATCTCCAGTCAATATATAGTCGTTCTTGCTCCAAGAGTTTTCTTCTTATCTCTCCTGTCACCTCTATTACCCAGTTATTAGTATTTCTGGTTTTAACAAATGTGTTGTATCTGTATTTAACCCTGCTTTCATTTTCCTGCTTGGCGATTCCAAGTTTTCCAACATTCTTAGACCAAAATTGTTCCATAAACTGCTCCTTTGTGACCGACTTTTCTACGTCATATACTATCATACTGGGTCCAGTTTTCTTAGGCAGCTCTGTTTTCAGCCCGCATTCATTGTCTTCTATTATCTGCTGGATCTTTTTTAATTCGTTTCCACCTTCCGTTTCCACTAGAATGCCTCTGTCTCCCACCTTTCTCATTCTTTTAATCCTTATTTCTTTAATTAACGGATTCATTTTCTTTGTAAGTTTTTCTTTGACATCCTCACACGTTAAATTGTCCTTTTCATTTAAAGGCTTAACAATCATTACCGAAGAATTAGTCTTGAATCCGCTTTTTAGTGTAGTACGTTGGATAATTTCTTTTTTTTCTGTTTCAGATGCTGCTGTTCCGGACCATGGAGTGAACGCCACTTGAACATAGGACATCGAACTGATAGAATTTTTCGATGCCAGGTAAGTACACTTTAATTTTTCTCTCTCAACGATACTCTCTTGTAATTTCCCTTCTAGTAGCACCCACTTAGACAATATGAACTTAATTGTATTCTTATTGATTTTATTGTTTTCATTAAAGAGAAACTCTTCTAGAGCTACTCTTTCAGATCTCACTTCTTCTAGCGTAACTTCCTTGTCGTCCTTTTCAACTTTCGGTGAGCCTTTTTGTTCCAGTTTCTCTCTTTCCACACTATTCGCACTGCTTTTTTGAACAGGTTCAGGAAAAATAAATACATTATTATCATCAGTTTCTCTGGTATTTTTTAAACTGGGGCGTTTTGTCGTTTTTTTTCAGCCGGAGAGTCGTATGCCTCCTCACCTTGTTCAAGCAAAGCGCTAAAGCAAGGCCTATTTATTCCTCCAGTTATTATTTTCGCCGATGGTGGTGGTGATCTGGGAATAGACTCCCTTCTCTTGAACGGGTCCTGTTCTTTATCTCCGGGTTTGTGTTTCATCGTTAACTTTGGTTTGAGTGTATTTTTAGTTTTTTCATTTTTCTCCATTTTTCATCCCACGAGTATGGTAGGAACAAGTATCAAGTGATTCAGAGCCTCCATGATATCACCAAGCCTAGCTACTCTGGGGGGTCGGCAGGTACCCCAGAGGGAACGTTTGCGACCGCGCTGTTTCACGTCTTCGTGGCCAAGCAGCCATCGGCACGTTGCCTTACACCTTGGCTTAAGACGTTTGGTGCATTCTTAGTCTGTCCTCTCCTTCCAAACTCATCCGGCAAGGTTGAACCTACCAGGGGCATAGCCCCCGCCGGCATGACTTCGAAGGTGTGTTCGCGTCGCATGCCCTAACATGCTCCTTCTCACTCCAATGCGCTCCAATACGTTCGTGTCACCGGAAACAAGATGGCGACTAGATGTTCGCGTCACGTTAGAGCATACTCTAAGGAGCAATTAGGAGCACGCTCTATTTGCCTCACCTTCGAAGGTGGTGCATTTGGGGCTATTTTATCGCGCATGCGTGTGAAGCTTGTACTGTAAACAGTATCCACTGCTCAAGAGTCGGGTAGTCCAATAACCTCGCTTTTATTATTCGGCTACGCCGTCACTGTCTTGATATTTCACAATGGAAACTTCTTTTAAGTATTCAGGTAAGAATTTTATATATGATGCTGATTACTTAAATACTCATAATACTTTTTATATTTTTACTTAATTAACTAATAAAATAAATTCTAAGAGATAGATTAAATGATTTTATTCTAAGATAATTTAAATTGCATAAATATTGTACTATATTAATAGTTTTATTTTTCAGCTGTGAAACCTAAACTGGTATCATTAAAATTAATTAAGCCTCCCCAGACTTTTGCGTGTACTTCTGTTGTAACTGCTACAACAAACTCGACACAGTTCCTAACCACAACTGCGCCTTTGGATTCTGTACTGAATAAAATAAGTTTTTCTACAATTCAACCTCAGACTATAATCCACGAGAGTCCTTCTGTTACAGTTCCTGTAACAAGCTCTATGCAGTACACACCTACAACTTTGTCTTCACTAGACTCTTCAATTGTGAATGCTTTACTAAATAAAGCAGGTCCTTCTGAAATTCAGCCTCAGATTAAAATCCATGAGAGTTCTTCTGTTACGATTCCTGTAACAAGCTTTATGCAGCACACGCCTACAATTGTGTCTTCATTGGACTCTTCAATTATAGACTCAGATAATGAAAAAGAGAATACTTCTGGTGTCAATAATGATGGCTATTTTATTTGGGACTATAAAACCATAATGTTGTTTTTCACAGAGTATGAACAGCATGAAAAAAAATTCCAGAAAAGAAAATATCAAAGTAAAGAGGCTATGTTTCAAGCGATAGCAGAATCCTTCCAAGAAAGAGGTTATGTGAATGCTACTAAAAATCACATGAAAAATAAATTTAAATTGTTGAAGAAGAAATGGGATAAACATATCAAACAGACCATGGGAAAAAATAGTTCTGGAAAAGGCACTAAACCTCTTCCATTTAAAGAGTAAGTTCTATCTTGTGTTTTCTGTATATAATTATATATATGATATTTTTGAATTAAACATTATAATTAATAGTTCAGTCGATTTGTTTCATATTTTTATTTTGTCATTCTTACAATATTCTGTTTTTATTAAGTAGTTAGTATTATATTTAGTATTTAATAAGTAAGTAATAGAATACATATGTATCTTTACAGTGAAATGATAAACTTATTTGGAAAAAGTCACAGTGGAGTGCCATCTTTTGTAGCTGGCCGCAATGGAATGGTTTCTCAAGAAGACATTTTGCAAAAAGTGGTCAGTCAACATTTGTCTCAGTGAGTAATCATCTCCTTAAAATGTTTTTTAATTCATTTCTAGATATATTTTTAGATATAATTTAAAATGTTTTCTATTATAGGAATGTAAATGAAGAACAATCTTCTATTGCACTAGACTCGCCACCTTCGACACCATCTGCAGTTAACAGTCAATCTCAATCAGTAATAGGTAGCAGCAAATCGTCCATGACGGATAGCAGTTGCTCATCTTTAATAAATACAAAAGCAAAAGTACGAGATGGCAAATTGGCGCATACTCTACAATCACTTAAGGAATCCATCTGTGCTGTGCTACAAAGAGAAAGTGATGCCAAACAAGAAACACGTACAAAATACCTGACGGAGCTTAAAAAATGTAATGAATTACAAATAGAACAATTACAATTGCAAAAAGAACGAAATAGTATCTTACAAAGGCAACTTAAGATACTAGAGAGAATAGAAAGTAAAAAATACTCAACACAAGAATTATCAGACGAAGAAGATTATAAAGATATAATAAGACTGAAGGTTTACTAAATTATATGTATACATAAGACATTCATAAAGTTTGTTCCTTTGCCTACTTAAAGGAGAAAATGTAGTAAAACACATTTATTAATCTTTTCTACATATAAATTCTGCGAAGTTACACATTTTTCCTGACAAGATCTGTCAGATATAGTAATTATAAAAATAGACACATTGTCTTTTAAAAAATGTTAATAAGATATTATTACAAATTTATAAAATTTATGAACAGTTTATTAAGTTTAATTTTAATTTTGTTAAAAGACAAGTGTGTTGGTTTTTACAATAATTATATCTTAATTAGATCTAATAATTAGATCTTTCATCATTGGGAATAATGTGTAACTCTACAGGATTCAAAGGTAAAAAAAAGCTAATAAATGTACA